TGGACTAACTGCTCAAAATCTCTGCTTGCCAGAAGGAGAGCTTTCAACCTCCACCACAGGGCCTCTTCATGGTTGTTTAGAAGGCAGCTTCAGGAGTATCAAACAGAGAACAACCGAAGCTGCAGCCAAGCGGGTCAACGTATGAGACGAATGCAAATCTGATTAAGGCAATGACTTCAATCATGCTGGCGAGTGGCTCTCTTAACTCTGTTGCTCGGGAATAATCAATGGACAATTTGCTCACGGTCTGAAACAGACGGCACACTTCTCTGTTTGTCTTTACAAGCCCCTCAGCATGTTGACGCAAGCCACCTCCATCACAGACTGGGGACTGTTCTACGGACCCTTTTAAAAAGGAAACCCAGACTTCAGGGGCCCTCACTCCCCAAACACCCTGCTCACACAGACAGGAGAGCCTCTCAGTTTCTCTGCCAGGCAACAACATTTGTTTGTCCTCTCTAGGCAGTCTCCAATGCCCGACAGAACGAACACACCCTCTTTACGGCAGTGGTGCTCCTCTGAAGAGGGGGTTGGGAGACGCAGAGCCTCGAATGCAACTCAATCACCTCTCTGTAGGAGCCGCACAAAAGAGCCAGTGAGAGCGCAGAAGTGAGAGTGAGACGGGTAGAGCTCTGCGCAGGGTGCAGCTGACCTGCTGCTGCAGGTAATGCGCTCTTTGGTTACCCGTTTCCCAGGGAGCATGTATCATTGCATGCTGGGAACACCCAAATGTGAATCCCTCTGCAGTGCCAGTATTTACCTGGAAACAATGGGACTTAAGGGAGCAGGTAACACAGCCATGTTTAAAACCGGTTTGCTCCAGTATTTGTTACACTCAGTAATACAAATAAAACCAAAATGACTTTCTTGTGAATTTGGATGGTTTATTGCAATACCTTCAAAATATTCTGCTGCAATTGACAAAACTTGATTAAGCAGACGTTTTAACTAATCCATACAAAATGTGGATGGACTCATTCAAATCCTGGATTCTGATTATTTCTCATATTGTTTTTTTCATATCTGAATTACGCTTTTGCTCTACCAGAGGCTCATGTGAATGCTATCCCTTTTCCTGGTGGCTAACACAACTTAATATGCACAACTGAATGACCCATTCTTGACAGTTCACTGACTCCATTCAGTCCACGAAGGCACCGATGAGAGGAAAGTCACCACCGACCCGAATTGAGTCCAGTATTCTCATGGCCTCATCTGTCCAGCACTAAGTGGCAAATTACCAAAACGAAATGCTTCAACAAATTAGCACTTTCGGGGATTATCTCATATACACATTCTTGAGGGGCTTCAGTCGCAATCCTCCGAACAGTGAACACATTGTGATGTGCTTAGTCAACATCCCGACCTCTGAAGTCTGGCCCTAAAAGCCCTTTGTTCCTCTGAGAAATCTCTGAATAAATACTGCAATAATGTAAGAGTTAAACAGTAGGAACAGGGCCTCTGTGTGGGGCAAGCAAACTGTAATTCAGGAAAATACAGGGTGAAATGTTTGGATCAATTTATTAATGCAAAGTTATTTCATTTCTAAGTCCTGGTTGTCTGTTTTTCAAAACAACATCTAATCAAATACATAACAGATATCAGTTAAACTAAGTGTAAACATACGCAATGACTCCAAGAGTCAAATTGTGAATCAGAAATCTTGTATCATAGAAGATGTTGAGGTCTATAAAATGCCATCACTTACTGACAAGGGTCTGCTTACTAGAAATTCTGCAAAATTAATCCTTGAACAAACCAGTTATATCAGCTGACTTGAGGTATTCTTCAAAAATCAATAAGAACCAAAAAAGCAATAAAGTGATGTTGCAAATGGTGCGCTCCGAGTCCTTTTGATATGTCCAATGACTGATTGTGATAAAGCCATGAATCTTGTAGTGACCGACACTGTGGAATACAGAGCACATCACTTAACATAAAATGAAATGGTTCCCATCTATCAAAACCACTGATGCACTGTTGACATGTTCTTTTTTGCTAAACCGGATAACAAAAGGCATGTACGAAGGAATGCTTCTGAACCCAACTGATTCTCTATCATTCCCTTCTCACCCTATTGATATTTAGTGATGTTATTTCTGAGGAGATATAAGTCTGTAAACTGGCACTCAAAGATGGCATACAACAGTTAGAGGATCTGCATGGAAGAGTGGAACAATGCAGACATTGTCAGCTGTGTGCATCCACATAGTTCCTGTTTGCCATAACATAGCAAAATGACTTGCGTAACACAGATTGTTGGGAGGTTAATGGTTTAAATTGGGGGATCTGATTGTCTACAACAAATTCAAAATGGCTGACGTTTTGATGGGGTTAATCTTACATTTTGGTACTAGAATCCTTTAATCAATAGATGTAGCAGTGTTACGTTATGCTTTTCATAAGCCAGACAAAAGGTTTCAAGCAATATTGGTTTTTGAAGGCTAATATCAATAATGTATGTTCGAGTATGTCACTGATGGCCACTTGCATTGGTGGAAAAGCCTCTGAAAAGGCATTAAAATGATCCCAAAATTGTTAAATACATTCATAAATCAGTTTACATAATGATCATTGAAATCATTTTTTTAAGAAGAAAGACACTGTAGAGATGATGAATATTTTTAATGAGGCCATTATCAGGGAGGAAACTCAGAGGTCCATTTCACAATTTAAGATGAAAAGTATTGACCCGATACATTGCTCTGACCGTAACTGACGTGAGATTTTCAGTGAATCAATGGTAGGCTTCTCCAATGAATGCAAGATGAGGAAGACGTGAAGAGAAAACTTGCATCTATAATGTATACTTTACTGCAATGGGAACGCATATGTTAACTCAGCACCACAAAAAGCGAGGCATCCAATTTGTTCAACTAGAATTACTTAATTCAATGATGAATGGGCCAAGCAACTTCCCAGCAGCCAGCTTTTCCTTTGTCTGGCTTTGTCTGGAGGAAGCTCATGGATTTGAGCAGACCTAAGGTTTGACTCTAGAACATGAAGTCACCCAGCAGCTGCTGCTCATAACAGCAAAAGGAAAAGATGACATGGGCGAGAATTTGAAAACAAGAGATAAGAAACGTTATCAAAATAAGAAGAAAAACATTACCAGTGGTGGTAAAACACCAAAGAGTTAAAAGCCTAACATTCTGTGAGGCTTCAACAGTGTGCCACAGAAGATATGTGTTTGCACCAGTTTTACACACACTGACATTTCCTTGCAGGCACTGTAATGAATCATAAAGGCTAGGTACAAATGTGTGTATCAAGAACATATTTTCCCAACCGATCCACAAGGGTTGCCACGTCATCAGTGATGAATATCTGTAGGCGAACAGCTGAGCAGCAAAACATCTCTTGGCAAGGTAAATTCACCTGAATGTGCTTAAGCTCAGTCTGTTTCTGAAGTCATAAAATCAGATGGATTAACCTGAAGAGTACACAATTCATTATCCGCTGCACGGTGGCCTGTATTACAGAGAAATAATCAACAAGTCATGAAAACTTTAACCAAGACTGAAGGTGACAAGAGGTGACGTACAAAATAAGCTGGTGACCTTTGGTCATTAAAGATAAGCCCTCACCAAGATGGTGGTTTCACAGGTCTCCAGTGCTGATAAGAGCTGGGAAGTCAGCAGGTGCACATTTCAAACACACTTACAACAAAGCCAGATTCTCACTGCTTTAGGCCTTTCATTTCCGATAGACGAGGAAATAAATGAAGTTACTGCTTTACAAATGGAAGGCTCCCGGTGCTGTGCATTCCCAGCTGCCTGACATGGCAACAGGAACAAATATGTCTGGATTAGATGCAGTAAAATGTTATGGGTATACATATCCTTTTCATGGTCGGTTCAGAGGGAATAAAACAGGGTTTAACATTTGAAGAACACAAACTGGCCTCCAGCAATAGTGGCTGCCCAGACATGCTGACATGGCCAGTGACTAATATGCACCTGCCTTTACACACCCTGAAACAGGAAGCTCTGGGGAGTCAGTGGATTGGGATTAACGTGAAAACACAGTCTATAAATCCATGCAGTGAGGGTGAGCTGCTGAAAGGAGGGAGGTGGACCGCCCTGCAGCAAATAAAGGCATGTCTCTCCTCAGTGTGGGATGAAGTCCATCGGTGACATAGCAAAGCGCAGTTTCACTTTCAGCTATTATATAGTCTCTGATTACAAGAAGGCCAAGACATACAGAGAGGTTTTTTACTTAAACCCGTGATCACAGTCACACCACATACATTATTAAACCAATCGACAAAACAGGGGCTGGTGAAGAGGATCTGCAATGCGTAGCCAACTGAGCTCCGTCCTGGTGCGACCACACAACGGTGCCAAACCTAGCGTTAGGCTTAGTAAAGAATAATGAATTGTGCTTTAATAACACGACATCTTGAATAAAAACGGGTTAAGTGAACATATCATCACTCGCCTTAAAAACAGGTGTACTCAAATAAATATATAAAAAAACGAGATGAGTACAGGAAGTACCAGACACAAGCAAGTTATAAAAAAAATAATTGTACGAACTCTGCAGAGGGTGAATTTGTATCTCATGTCAGATTATTAAGAAACGAGTGAGACAACCCAATGGGCCAAAAATAGATTAAAGCAATGACAGAAGGGGGTCGTTTCGTGGCTTTATCTTTAAAGTAGACTATTTCTGGTTTCCACGCTTTATTAGTAAATCTCACACATATATAATAACAGTAACTGTAATAGTACAATGTGTAAATGAGGATTAGTAAAAGGTTAAAAATTATGCAGTATCGCGGGATGCACTTGCTCCGCCGGGGTGCTGCGGCTCCAGAGATGACCATCCCTGAGCAGGTTCCTGAACATCCCTAAGCAACGCACCGCCTAACGTTCGTTTTAAACCCTTATCGCCTGGCAACAACCGGAGGAAACGTTACATTTTGACCGTTTCCAAAGATAACCCAGTGTGTCACGGACAGGCAGACACAACCCAACGGGAGATAAATCCCAGTTTACCTTTAGCTGCCTCCACCGCACATAATAGTCCGAGGACCAGTCCGACAGCGGATGCAAATGGTGTATTCCCTCGGACCCGCATCCCGACTTCGAGTTCAACCACGGCGAATTAAAAAAAAAAAAAGCTTCTTCTTCCCACGTCAGCCAGGCGGAATGTTTCTCCCACAATAAAAATAAAATCCAGAAGATGAGGTTACCACGGTAGCTCTAAGATGGCCGTCGTCGCTGCCGCCGCTCTGCTCTTCAATCACCGCTTCTCTCGCAGTTTTGCAGCTCGCTGGGTTCAGGGACTGTTGGGCATTTGGAAGACACGTCCCAATCGCACTGATTCATTCTGTCTGCTTGTTGGCCAGAGGTGGAGGAAGTACTCAGAATCAGATCTTGTACTTAAGTAAAAGTAGGAGTACCAGAGTGTAAGAATACTTTGTTACAAGTAAAGGTCCTGCAATCAAAATGTTTTACAAAAAAGTATTACCATCAAAATATACTTGAAATACTAAAAGTAGGCCTACTTATAATGTAGAATGGCCATTTTCAATATAATATATATTATATGTTTTGATCTGAATTATTGATTCATTTATCAAAGCTTGTAATGGTGCAGCTAATTGTATCTTGATACTATTTATACTTTGCATACTGCTGGGTAGCTTGTATAAATTACTCTCTGTGTAACTCAATTCTTATTTAAGTGAAATGTCTTTAATTTGATATCAATACTATAACATTATTCTTTTTTTAAGATTGTATGATTCAGCCTGCCATTTCATCCGGTCAAACTATGGGTCAAACAGCAACAGCCATTTCAAGTAAGCTCTACAACACAAGTTCTCAGAAATCGAAGCTTAAAATGAGAACCTGAAGGCAACATGTGTCCAACGATGGCTTGTGACGTCAATAATGTTATTGTGGGAGCGCATGCAACTAGTTTAGCACAGCCGGCTAAACTAAGACCGAAGGCGGGGGCCAAATGCCTTCTGGAGCTACAAAGGGGTCTGTGAGGAGACAGGCATCCAGTGATCATCACAATGTGAAGTGCATGACCGAATCAAACACTTTCCGATGAAGCTTTAATGCCAATAAGGATGCTGTAAGGTTTCTGTTTGTTTAAATACAAACACATTTTATTGTAGATGATGTCTACCTGTGGTCATAAATAGTTATAGACCACCAGATATAATGTATCAGTCCCCTTATCTCAAAGGCTAGGCAGATGCTCAAGGTGGAGGGTATTGCTGACAGAGCAGGGACCCAGACAGCATGCTGCCTCGAGGCCCTGGTTAGATAATCCAGGCATGGTATAATGGATATTTCCACAACATGACACTACTATAATGTGACAAACTAAAATGCGTGAAAATGCTTATGTGGTTCTGAAGCCATAAAATAGTGTAATCCTTTGGTCCAGAGGGGCAAAATCAGAATTGAACATATGAAGTACATCCATGCATCAATGTCGCTGCAAGGTTATCACTAAGGTGCCATTTTAATACAAATCAGCCCCAGAGAAAGAGACATTATGATTACAATTTATTAAAAAATAAGCATCATACTGATCATGTATATGACTTAAAAACTATGCAGGCCATGCAGTACGACCACACAACACATGCGATGTGAGGAAACAAGAACTGTAATGTAGGTGGGGGCTGCTATCTAATCAACACCCTGAGATATGGATAGCACCCCTGAGGAGACGAGGACACGATGCAATCAGTGACTTACTACATTTACATCAGTTTTTTGCACAATACTTGATATGGCTGCTCCTCATGCAAATCCAGACATGTGTGACATTTTATTTGTTTTTGTACAAATCAAAAAGTTTGTTTAGAAAAGGTCACGAAAAGGTGTTACTCCCTGCCACAAATGTATATTAAATCTTCTTTAACAGATTCTTTTAAAGATTATTATCTTTTATTAACATGATTTTCTACACCTATTTATTGTGTATTGTGAGAGATTGAGATTTTAGATTTTCATTGAAACACCATTTTCTCTGTAATTGTGCGTATGATAATAAAGAACAGAAGAGTCCTTAGACAAGCTTTGCTTTGTGTTCTTAGTGTTTTCCTCTCCCCAACCACTTTTTCACAAATTAAAAAAGTGCAAATGACAAAAAGGACATTTGAAAGACTGCCAAAAAACACACCGCCCAAACATATACTAATGTTGCAATAACAAAAGCAAACAATCAGACCTCAGTGAAGACTCAATAGTTGCAATTATCCTGGAGAAATACCAGAGAATGGAAACAGTGTGAGGCCACAATTAAGTGCTGCGCTATAAACACGGACAGTCTATGGACATCAGGGCAGCAGCAAAGCTGAAGTACAATGCGTGTTTGTTTTCAGTTTGGCAACACTGACCAAGAGAAAGTGGAAGCATTGCCCCCTCCCTCACAGATGTCCAGTTCTCATGGGAAGAGACACAGTGGCCATTTTTATTCCTCTGGGGGACAATAGCAGGCAATAAGAGGGCTATTGGTGGATAGGTGATAGACATCGATGAATGATCAGCAAGTGTCACTTCCTGCAGACCATCTCACCTGACTGTGACTGAGGGCTGCTCTTCAGGGATCTCCTTGACTGGAGAGGGTTTGCGGACACAGGCCTACTTTGTTCTTTATAACTTGTGCATGTCAGGTTGATTTAATTGGTATGCAGCTATAGTAGTAAACAATTGTTGTCTCACTATTCTATTAAGCAGTAATTCTCAACACGTTCTTACTGTACACAGAATGCAACATATTAAAATGTCAGTTCACCCTAAATTTCAAAGAGATACTTTTTGTTACTTGGTCCCAGAAATGTATTCACAAAGTTATTTTCAGTTATTTTTCTGCAGGTTTGAGATATCTCTCTGGGGGTTAAAATAAAATCTGATTTTTGTTTATGCTGCCCATAGCAATGATCGTCAACATTGAAATCTGTGAAATGATGTGTGCCCAGCAGTAAGTAAGAAAGTATGACTATTTTGGTAAGTGGGTCAAATGAACCTTTAAGCAATACATTCATAAGCAAATAAATCTCCCACTGTTGAATTTAATTGAATTGATGTATTTAAAACAAGGGACAGTGTACATTAATCAACATATTAAAAACATGTAAAAGTACTCGAATTAGCCAAAAGGCTAGTTTTCACCGATAGTCCCTTTGCCAAATATCAACAGGGTGAAGGGAATGATAGAGAATCAGTTGAGTTCAGAAGCATGTCTTTTGTTATCCGGTTTGGCATCCTAAAAGCAAGAATTAAAATACCAACATTGTTATACCAAAAAATGTACATATTTACAATAGACGACATCACTGAATACAGGTCATGATAATAAAGAAAACATTCACAATACACACTCACATCAGTGCTGACACTGTTGATTATTAATGAGCCACTTTTTAACACTGTGATTGAATGTGTAGTAAGATGAGGACTCTCTTATTGGTTGTGGTTGGTTATTTAATTCCACTGATGGGATGCGTTAAATGAAAATACAGCCTGGCTAAATGCACTTTTCCTAAATGGGATGGTGCAGTCTCCCCTAGCCGCACTTCTAGTAGCCCTGGTTGAGGTGGACTTTAGGCTGATGAAGCCAGCCAAAGGAGGAGGAGCCAACCCACGAGTGATTTTATAAACTAAGCAGACATTTTTGTAAACTATTTTCCCAGATGAACAGATTACACTTTTTAACAATGTGGCAATGATGATACCGGAATGGCTTTTTGTCTAGTGTTTATATAATGATTCCAGTGGTTTTAGAGCTTGTTTTAAAGATGTATTAAAGATACATTTTTAAAGTAAGATCTTAAGCCACTGTTACTCTTATGTTGTAGTCTTATGGTTCATAGTCATTTGGTTGATAAGGAGATCAACTGAAATCAAGCAGCAACTAATTAGATAACTGATGAATGATTTAAAAATAATTGCTGTGGGATGAGCCTGGTACAAGCATGCACTGCTCGCTCGTAATTCAGGAGGAAATTCTTTACTTGTTTAAATTCTCTATTCTTTCTAACAAAAAATTAACATCAAACTGATCAAGATCTCACTAACATACTGCAGAGGAGGTTTACGGTAGCACACGTGTCTGTATGTTGTATTATTCTAAATTCACGTCTTAATGATTATCTGGTAAAATGAGCCTGATATAAATATGTGTACTTCATCCCATACTCACGGACTGCAACACATTATCTGTTTCAATAATTGTTGTTAATAAGCCTGACAGACCCAGGTACCGGCGGGGCCCTCCCTCAACATCTTGCAGGAAACAGTGTCTGAGGGCATGTTCATTTAATAAACTATGAATGTTTTATATTCATGCAACGGGAAGAAACTCATCTAACTGATCTTTTTTTTTTTTTAAATCAACAAAACCCCCACAATGCTAACGCTGAATTAGCAACGAGCGAAAAATGCCAACAGATGACTGCACCGAAATTCACTCACAAAACCTTATTCTTTATCTTTGCTGCACATCCAACACATCGTTTCACATCGTGAGATGACACATAATCGATGGGTGCAGACGTGGAGACATTAGCACTCAATGATACGAATACGCGGAAATAATAACAAGAACAGACATCAAAACATGAGGCGCTAGGTAGCTAAAAACGCTAACATGGCTCACCTGTGTCGTAGTCTGGTCTTCAATGGCATTAAAACGATTAAAAAAAAACGCTACTGAAGTTAATTCATAGGTTAATCCAATGTGTCTGTGTCCCTTTGAAATGATTTCTGATAATCCATAAGCAATAAACCTGCTTTTCCGTTTCTAGATGTCAGAGCTAGAAACGCCCCCACCTTTTTGTTTTACCATGTGTGTGAGTGGGTAGATTCCCCTTCGATTCTATTGGCTCTAACGGTCAGAAAGAGATGTCAATCACCAAAATCGACCAATGGGTTCCAGAGAAACGGTAAAACCCCCATTTCCACCCAAATCACCTCAGAGGTGGAGTTTTCTTTGCTAAACCTCTCTAAAAAGGTAAAATGTCACTTGTCTTGCATCAATCTTGATACAGGGTACTTATTATATGTTGTACTTTGGATTCATAAAGCTTTTAGTCTACCTTACCATCATCCAAGGGTAGTTTTCACTATAAGTAAAACGTATTTTTTGGACGGACACTATCATTTACAGTTTTTTACTATGTTCAATCTGAATTTTCTTTAAAATAAAAAACATCTATATTGATTCTGACTTTTCTACATCCAACTCACAGGTTTATCATTACTTTGAGAAAAAAGATTATTAATTTAACCCTTTTAGAAG